TTTTTGGCTCTTCTCCTAGGATTGCTTTCCTTGAGGATCTAGCAAAGTTCCTTTTAAGTTACCGCTTCCCCGTATCGTTCTTTTTCAAGAATGTTACCTTTTGTTCAAAGGCTTTACTCCATGGGGTGCTCGTGGTTTAGCTATTCCAAACTTCCCACAGTCGGTGACAATCTCTTGATACTCAAAAATGGCATCAACAGATGCCGGGTCCACACGTGTTCGTACAGGCACGTGGAGAATACGTCTTCAACGCTCGACTAAACAGTTCGGATGCCGGCTAAAGTGATCGAAAAACTTGAAGATACGCGAATACAATTTCACCTTGACGTACTCTGAATAGTCGCAAGTGAGTAGAAAAGGATAGGAAAAGAATAAGAGATCCAATAGCTTGAAATGTACGGAGTAGTGTTTATTTTCTCCTCCAAAATGTACCAAAAATTAATAACCCGTTCCTTATTCTTTTTCCCAGGTTTTTTCCTCTTTTTCTCTTTCTATATATGTGTTGTTTCTTTTGTTCCACACCTCTCTTTTCTTCTCCAAATGCGAGAGTATATATAGAGTTTAAGGAAGACGTGGTGGCCATTTGATCCGAACCTTGTGCCCCTACCTCTTCCTTATACACATCATATTCTTCTTACACATACATTTATTATATTGACAAGGGTCAATTGCCCTAATTTCTAGGCGATATTCTCGTCTTAAGATAAAGTAGATGTCTAATCAGTCTCTCACAGAGATATTCGTCAGGTTAGCAAATGTGGCAGCCTCCTCGTTTCTTAGGACTTCAGCTCTGTCTTTCAGAATTTCTAGGCCGACGGAGGTAGCAACCTCCTTATCTCTTAAGACTTCAGCCTCGTGCTTCAGAACTTTGGCAAGTCGTGAACATGAGGGCTTTAACGTAAACCCTTCGTCTAGGTTTCGACACATATTTGGTTGAGTGACACCTTGGCCAAAATAAGGACCTCGACTTCTGTAGTCTTTGTAACCTTGTCTTTTCCTATATTTGGGCTGATTCTTCCAATGTTCTTAGTGGGGCTTCCACGTGTAGCTTCTGATTGCTAACTTAATACGGGGAGTAATAGGAAAAATGATTTTGGGGAGTCCATTTTGGATAAACATATTTCAAAAAGGAGAAGATGAATATAGTGGAAGAGATTTCACGTTTTAGGAAAAGTAATTTTGGAAATCGATGGGAGGTGACCTTGTATTTGCAGTTGTGTTTGGGGTGATTTTGTGAAAAGAAGAAGACAAGTTCTTGTTTCGATTTTTTATTTAACCCATATTTTTTTTTAATAACACTTACTCCATGATTTGGTATCCACTAATTGCAATATCATGCCGCATAAGTAACTTTATTTGCCTCATCATAAATTTCACAATGGTTGATTTAGTGATGGACAGGGTATCATATTACAAAATTCAGTACCCAATCAGATTATTAATCCCTCCATATCATAAAAAACTTCTTGATTTGGCAATGGCATCCATTAATTGCAATATTGTGCTACATAAGCAAATCCATTTGTCACGTTATCAATTCTGTCACTTTTTCGAAAGATCGTTGATTGACCAATCGATGAGGTTACATATTACAAAGTTCAGTGATTAATAGGGAAACTTTTAAATTTCAATGACCCACTGAAAACTTTGTGAAAAGTTCTATGCTCAAATCAGATTATTAATCCGTGCTTTGAATTAACCGTACTATCAACTAGTAATATAATTATGCATGCAAAATATATTTGTATAAGTAGAACACCACAAAATTTAGTCGCACTATTCTTTTTTGGACACTTGAAATCATAAATTAATTTTATGTTCACGACTTATTCGTTAAATTATTACATGTCGCTAAAATTGTCCAACTTAATTTCCTATTTTTACCTACCTTGAAAGTAATCCACCACCCACTTTATGTAATAAAATTTCAATCTAGCATGTCAAAATCCACTAACTTTGAAGACATCATTTATACACATCCTTCCAATTCTCCAAGTCCAACATTGCCTTCACATGCATTTTTTATAAAAGCTGATTTTCCCCCCACTTTGCCATGCATAACCATCCAAGGACTCCAATTTGTGTAAGAAATAAATAATTTTTTTAAAAAAAAAGAAAAAAAGTGCCACGTGTCCATGTATTAAATTGACCAAAATTATATTTTTCTTTTTTTCAACAAAAATAAGATTTTTGAAATAACCTTTCATCAAAAAATTTTGCATAAAATGTTTTCAGTGAGATCGAGACAATTTCCAATGAATT